GCCTTTGTCTGGATCCCTCTAGAGCTCACTCTGAATCAAAGTCTCATTTTTTGGGATGTGCTTTCCTTTTGTCTGTTACCCAGACTGATAATCGTATCAGTCTTCTCTACGCCCCCACCTTCCCTTCGGCTCATGGCCAAGGCCAGTGAGTTTCTGCTCGTATCCCTATACTGCCTGTGCAAGATAAACAGCATAGACTATGTTAGTCTGGGCTCAGTGGCTGGGTGACAAGAAGCTCTGGACTCCAGACCCTGCACTGTCGGGCACATGTAGAATATTGTTGTCGTTTCTGAGAAGCCATTTCTGATTCACCATCATGCTTCCAGAGGATGGCAGCCAGGGCTGTTGGCTGGACACCGTCCCACGAGGAAGTTGAGCAAACGAGGGATCTTTAAACGAGGAAGTAGAGGCAATGCAATCACTTCCCGTAGAAAGGTGTGCAGACTCCTTGTGTCGCAGCATTAATGACACTTGATAGATGATTTAGAAAGCAGGGTTCAACTTAACATAAATGAGAACTTTCCAATATTTGTCATTGTCTGTTGGTAATTGACAGCTGTCCTTTATTGAACAGAACCCTATCTTAGGTGTTGTGCTAAGTGCCTCATACATGCTGTCTCATTTATTCCTCACACACAGTTCTGTAGGTTTAAGTGCTGTTGCCTTTGTTTTTCAAGTGAAGCTGAGATTCAGGTTTAGTGACTTCACATAAAGTCATATAGGTAGTGAGTGACAGCCAAAACTGCAAGTAGAACTGGTCTGAACCCAGAGCCCATCGTCTTATCTACTCTCTGCCCTGCAGTGTCGAGTAAGGTCAGACTAACCACCTTAACTGGTATTTCCAGATTCCAGCGCAGGGGGAGACAGCAGGACAACAGCCCTGACACTGTGGCCTCAACTCCTGCCACCACCTGCAGTGTGCTGCCATCACACTGCACCCCAGGATGGTGGCCCAGCCCCCAGCAGGCCTTCTTCTGATGGCCTGTACCTGTCACACCAGGGCTGCCGACTCCTGGCCTTGACTGTGCTCACCTCCTCACAGTGCAGCCTCCTTTGACAGGGTCAGGGCTGTTTCATCTCTCCTTTCCCCCCAGCACCCACTTTGGCTACTTCACATGGTGGAGATCTGTTCTGGCCGCTCTCTCACAGCTGGCCCCAAGTGGTCTCTGACACAGGTTTCCTTCCAAAATCCCAGGATAGAATACGTAACAGTGACTCCAGAAGGATTCCGGTACCGGGGCCAAATCTTCCCTACTGTGAACGGACTTTTCCGATGGTTTAAGGATCACTACCAGGATCCTGTACCAGGTGAGTTCTGTTCTGAGTTCTGGGATGTGCTTAGAGGGACACGAAGGTCCTGAATCAAGGTGATCACTAGCCACCGGTGGAAAGGACGAGGCCCGGGCTGTCACTGAAGCTGTCTCACTCCTGCTCCAGGCTCCTAGCATCAAGGAGGTCCTCCATCCACTTTGCTGATGCAGCTTCCCTTCTTTCCACCCACCTCAGGACCTCTTCCAGCCCCCTTCATGGTGAAAACAGAAACAGGTTTCTGGAGGGACATAACTAACTTTGGTCGTTTCCTACAGGCATCACCCCCAGTAGCAGCAGTAGGACCCGGACACCTGCTTCTATCAATGCCACCCCAGCCAATATCAACCTTGCAGGTGAGCTCATGTCTGAGACTGGGAGCTGGAGGGATGGCACTAGAAGACTTTGACCTCTAACGTGCCCATCTCCCACCTCTGTGTGCCTACAGATCTGACACGGGCTGTGAATGCCCTGCCTCAGAACATGACCTCGCAGATGTTCAGTGCCATCGCAGCCGTGACAGGCCAAGGACAGAACCCCAATGCCACGCCAGCCCAGTGGGCCTCGAGCCAGTATGGCTATGGTGGCAGTGGAGGGGGCAGCAGCGCTTACCACGTACGTGGCTTGGGGACAAGGCTCCCTGCAGAGGGTGGAGAAGAGCAAAAGGGAACATTCATCCTTTGCCAACCTGTGTACATAGACTGCCCTCTGGCGGTGTCTACCCCACGGGGCTTCATATGTACAGATGGGGCCACCACAGCCTTAGGAATGGTCTCCAACAAATGTTCCTTTTCTTTGTGCCCTCTTGAGGGTAGAGGGAATAAGAAAAAGTCTGATTTTTCCATGGTCCTTTGGGATCTTTGGAACCCTTAAGTGGTCCACACTGGCGGGCCCTGTTGTGCCAGGTCCCATCCTGCTGGCCTCTCTCTGCCACTTGGGACCACACATTGCTCAAGAGATGGTCAGCCTGAAAGCTCGGTGCTGAGCCCTGGTTTTCAGCTTGCCAGAAGTTCATAGCAAGGCCAAATAAGCCCCAAACCCATCCCCATTTAACTATTCACCCTTCTCCAGGTGTTCCCAACGCCAGCCCAGCAGCCAGTGGCCACACCACTAATGACCCCCAGCTACTCCTACACAACCCCAAGCCAGCCCATCACCACACCACAGTACCACCAGCTACAGGCCAGCACCACCCCACAGTCTGCCCAGGCCCAGCCCCAGCCCTCCTCCAGCTCTCGGCAACGGCAGCAGCAGCCAAAGTAAGTATGCGGTTTGTGGCACAGAGCAGGTTATTAGGGGCAGGTGTTGTCAAGAGGCCAAGCAGTTCAACATAAGCAGGTCGCTTGGACCTTGTGAAAGCCGTGACCCAAGCAATGTCTCCTGAACGACCACTTTCTGGGAAAAGACAGAAGAAGGTGATGTGACAAAAAACAGGTCCATTTCTGTAAAGATGGACGATCAGCAGCGTTTGGTGGGAAGGCTTCGTTCCTGTGAGGCCCCAGAGATTCCTGATCTCAGAGGCCCCTTCTCCCTCCCAGGTCCAACAGCCATGCAGCCATCGACTGGGGGAAGATGGCAGAGCAGTGGCTACAGGAGAAGGAAGCGGAGCGGCGGAAACAGAAGCAGAGGCTAACACCTCGGCCCTCTCCCAGCCCCATGATCGAAAGCACCCCCATGTCCATTGCTGGCGATGCCACCCCGCTCCTGGACGAGATGGACCGGTAGGGGGCCTGCTCCTAGGACTCTGGTTACCTCTGAGGCTGGGAGAGCCCGGCCGCCCACTGCCTCACTCCCTGTCCCGCCTTTTCTGTCCATAAAGTGGCGTGAGTTGACGTTCTCTCTGGTGGTCAGCCTGGATGGGTGACAAGCTGGATGGCCTTGGGAATTTGAGCTCAGTGTAAGCTAGGCGACAATTCTCCCACTCCAGGCCCTCACCGACCACCTGTTCTGGGACCAGGCTGGGCGGGGAGTGTGGCGGGGAGGAAGAAGAGGAAGACGAGAATGAGAGTGGAACAGTTTTGTATTCTCCCTACAAGCCATTTTTGAGCTTCTGCCCTCACCTGACTCTGGGCTGTGACCCCGGGGCACCAAGCTCAGCACATGAGTCTCCCCCAGCTCTTGTGGGGAGAGGAATGCTATTTATTCAGTTTCGGGCAGGAGGGAGAGGAGGGAAGGTGTTTCTGACCCAGATGCCAACAGCTTGGGTGGCTATCAAAGCAGAATTGCAGGGGACACGGGAGCAGTGCTAACCTGCTCAGCCCCCGCCTGGCCACCTTCACCCACCTGCTGCTGCCTCCGCTTCCTGCCTGTCATTTGAATAAACAGTGTTTCTACAGAGCATTTGGCAAAGCCTCTCTCTCCAACGCTCCGGCTCTTGAAGGGTGGCTTTCCAAGCTGGGTTTGGAGCTCTGACAGCTCCCCCTGGTTCTTCCAGGCCACCAGAGAGGCAGTGACTCAACAGCAGGCAGCTTCTGTATCTGACCGCCCAGGGCCAAAGCCGTGCTCCACTTCCCAGCCCTGTGCCCTGTGCCCTGTGCCCTGAGGGAACCGAGGGAACTCCTGTTGTCCTCGAGCCAGCCATCTCCTCTGTATGGTGAAGCTAGCGAGACCTGCCTCATCTGCCTCCCTGGGGCAGCTGCAGAGGCAGAGAATGTGTGAAAGCGCTCTGCCAAGGGGCGGCCTGGGACCTCATCAGTCCTCTGTACACGTTAGCCGCTGTCCCTACGCTCTCACACACCCGCCCCATCTGCTTGCCCACTAGCCTTCTCTGGCACAGCAAGGAAGGGCCATGAGTAAATTTGGCCCTTCTCAGCTTGAGCCCCTGTACCTCTTACCTCACTCTTTTTGCCAGCTGAGCCTCAGTCTCCGATAGTACCTCTGCACAAGTCCAGTATGTCTGCCCCAGGATGGGCCCCATGCTCGCCTGCTACCACACCCACACGCCCTGGAAAGGGAAGTGCTGGGATGTTGTGGGGGAAGCCAGTCCCTGCCCCGCCTTCCCTGCTTGGGACCGGCCAACACCCTGGCCCTGGCCCCTTCCCCCTGCCTCACTGCCTCTTTTTGTTCCAGACTCCTGGTCTCCTGTGTTCCTTCAGAAGGGCCTCCTCTCCTAGCTTTACAAGTTGGTGCTAAGAAAGTGAGGTTCTCCCCCTCCCTTTCCTCTATTTGGGGCTCAGCAGAGAAATCAGAAAAGGTCACTGCTGCCCACACTTGGTGAGCTTCCCGTCTTGACTTCATCCTGTCATTCAAGATCTCTTTGGCTGTTGGCAAGAGTTGGGAGGGAAGGGCTGGTCTTCTGCCAGGAACTCAGTTCTATTCCCTTCAGCACAGAGGTCTAGAAGGGCCTAGCAGGAGCACGAGCTGGGAAGATCATGTTCCCTTTGGTGTTACCAGCATCCTCCTAAGGGCCACTTAGAGGAGGGAAAGGCCAGAAACAGTGGCACAGAGTGGGTTAAAAGGTTCAGTTTATTAGGGCTATCACTGCAGACAGTACTGCCTGTCCCCGGGTGGATTTCACACAGACCAGTCTCCCAGGAGATGGGACGCCTCCTTCCCACCCCACCCAGGTGTGCTCCTCTCTTGCCCTGAGCCTAGGATGTTACAGAGAAGCAGGCTGTGCCCCTCCCTTGCCATCCCTCCTGCCTTCCCATGGACTGCCTCCTGAAAGATAGATTACCCTTCAGAAACTCCTGCAGCCCCCTGACCCCTCAGCTCCAGCTGTGTCCAGAACCCGCACCCTCCCCACAGAAGTGACAGGTTGGAGGGAGAGAGAATAGCAGCAGGGGGTCAGCTACAGGCTTGATCTCATTTATTCTTCACCCTGGATGCCCTGGCCTCAACTGAGATTGGGGTTTGATGCTGGGGGAGATTTCCTCTTGACCTTCTTGACTGGTGAGGCCTTCGCCCTGGGTTTCTTAGCCTGGGCCGTGTTCTCTCTCTTCCTGGGCAATGAAGACTCCACAATATCCTCGCTGGAGGGTTCCTCCCGCCTGGGGTCATTGTAACTGTCCTCACTCTCCAGGTCTTCCCGGCTGTCTGGGCTGGACTCTGACATCCTGGCCAACTCTCTTGGGCTTATTGATCGGGTCAAGTCTGGAGGTGGAGATTCCGATTTAACTGGGCTTTTCTTCTTAATCAGTTTGCTCTTCTTGGCTTTTTTCTTCAGCTTTGCCTTCTCATCTGTCTCCTCCTCCTTGTCTTTCTCTTTTTCTTTTTTCTTCTTTACCTTCTTGATCACTTTATTGCCCTGGGACTTCCCTGTGGGGCTCTCAGAGCGCCAGATAGTGATGGGAGCTGCTGAGTCCGGGGTACCTGTGACTGCACCCATGCCTGTGTCAGCGGGTGTGGTGGCGGGCCCCACCTGGGTCGGGATGGGAGGCTTGCTTCCCTCTTCCTCCTCCTCTTCCTCCCCCTCCTCCTCCTCCTCCTCTTCATTCAGATCGTCTGCCCCACAGTCATGGTGGATGGGATGGTGGATCACTGCCACAGAGACAGGCCTATAGCTTTTGCACCTGGGAGGGAGGGGGGACAGGGAAAGAGAAGATTGTCAGAGTGGGGGGGGGG